AAATTTTTTTTACTAAGCTCTCTATCATGGGCCTGCTAGGAACACTTATACCAGGAAAATGTCTGCGAAATTTACAGCGGCATCTTCCGTAGGATGAATATTTGGCATATGTTTCGACTAAGAACACACGTTGCTTAATACTATACACCATATTATCAACGTCAATCCGCTACAAGAGACGCAATGAAACTGATTCGCCTGTGACTCATGGGAAGAACACGGACTAGTCCCACCCACGTCAACAGATCGCCAGCCGACCGCACGGTGCGGGCGCGCCTCGAAAGACATAAATTGTAAACCCGGTATATGTCATCACATTATATCCCACTTTTATCTCTCACTACACAATGGAGCCATGACTCAAATGGAAAAAGGTTTGTGGATGAATGAGGGTAATGAGAAGCAGTTTTGAAATGTTTCCAAATTGTATAAGTTCAATTCTGACCTTGGACTTTTCCAAGCAGTGTATGTTACATGATACTAATTTCTGGGTTAGAGCTGCATCACTTGTTGAACTGCATTCAATTCTTCAAATGTTGATGACAACTGCAGTTTTCACCAAAATACTGAATATAGTTGATCAAGGAACACAATTAAAGCCTGAAAGCCATGTGTTACATATTATGTATGAGTTTAAATCCAAGCACAAATTTTCATGGATATTTTTATACTGTTGAATTTCTTAACTGCTATAAAGTTTTATTTCATACACATCACAAAACAATTCATGGAAGATTAAATTTACTGGAATATGTGACACTGACATTTGTTTCAAACATAGTCTATTTCAATCCAATTGGCAATTTGAGTGAAACTATAAATTTAAAATAACAACACATGGATGTGTTTAATGATCAATATCTGATTTTGTGAATCTCATCTGAAGGGTAGGGAGGAACTTGACAACCAATAAGTTGAATTACTTGCTGTGCTGTCCAACAGCCCCATGCGATACATGTTTCCATGTTATGCTTTGCAAACACTCCTGCCAAAAACCCTGATAAAAAAGAATCACCAGCCCCTGTTGTGTCTCTAATTAACTCCTGTCTAACAGCTGGCACATCAAATTTTATAACTGATGGCTTATTGCAACCATTGCCATATACACATAACACTGAATCTTTGCCATCTGTAACAACAATGATCTTACCCATTTTGTTAAGATATTTTCCAAGGTCACAACTTTCAAGAAAATGTCCTTGGTTGCTCATATTATGTAAGGCCAGTGCAATATCTTTAGTACTTTCATATTCTAAATTCATTACTTTGCCTAGTGCCTTAAATTCTTCTTTATTCCCAAACAAGATATTGGCACATTTGGCAAGATGAGAGACTTTATTGGGAAAATCATTGCACATATATACAGCATTAATATTGAAAACCAAGGCAATTTTCTTGTCTTGGCATAATTTCAATAATAAAAGTGCTACTTCATAGCTGTGACTAATGAAAAAACTCTCAATATATATTATATTTACTTGCTCCAGTATTTGCATGTGCTGCAATAGATCTGAAGGTTCATAGATATTGGCTGCTCCCAAGTGGCAAACCAATGACCTGTTTTCACCACTGATGAGAGCCAGACAACTTCCCGTTGGATAGTCATTGTGATACTTATATCTGTAAAACAATATAAGTGGCAGTCAAACAGGGACCGAGGTAGGTACCTGAAAGATACCAAGAATACAGATGCTTCTTTCCACATATTACTTACCAACTGCCTGGCAATAGATCCATTCACTTGGCATTTCCTCAAGATCTGTTTTAACCGTTATTACCCTTGCATTTTACGTGCAATCAAGCTTTGTATGTGTCACACTAGCATACTGTTAACTCTTAACCACAGATCTAAAGTCTGACCAGCGACCCCATAGTATAGGGATTTATATCATCCTTTTCCATATGATAAAGGTTAATATTTCCTCTCATCTCTTGTGGCTTTATTGTTTTCCTCATTACATCTACATATACAGCCTGTCATAACTTCTGTGATATGCCTACACTAACAGTACTAGGTAACCTACATAAATCCACAATTTTCTCATTATATAACTGTCCTCCATTCCTCACTTGTTTCAGCTGTCTTAGGCTCAAATACTTTTTCTTCAAACACTTGTGATTAGCATTCTTTGCTCAAAGTAAAAGATTGCCTCACATCCATACAATCAAATGGTAAAATCACTGTTTTAATATCTTAATATTTACTTGCTGTAATTGTAAAGTAGACTAGATGGTATTTACTTTGAGTATACCTTGTCTCAATGCCTGAATTTTTCACCAGTTTCTCAAGTAGTTTTCCTTCATCATCATTTCCAATCCCTCCAAAAAAAACTGAATAGAGTGGACAATTGACCACCCATTGGAACATTCTAAGCGTATTCTGCGCTGCACCTCCAGGATGGTATTCAACACTGAAACTGAGAGATAACCAGTTTCATTATTACATTAAAAAATTGGTCAATTACCCAAAAAATAATTCTCTCTTTTTTGTAAATACATTATTCTTGCAATAAAATGTTTGAGACCTATTCACTCTTATTTGCTGCATTGTACAACAAAATTACTACCAAAGAAAATGTCACAATACAATGTTTAGCACTCCTGCTTCATACTGAGAAGGTCCCAGGGTCATATCATGGCCTGGAGACCAGGTAACTTGATTGATGTTTCCTGAGACCCCTCTGCAAACAGTAATGTCTTAATGTCTTCCCAATTCAACAATCACAATCATCCTGCCAGTCAGTTAAGTAAGTCTATATAAAGCATCAAATCAACCAAAACCTAATGAGGAAGGAGCACCCTAGGACCAAAAACAACCCAGGAATATGTCATGATGGATGGAGGTGCAAACTTCATAAAGCTATTTAACCCCAAATTCAAATTAAATTACAGAGATTTTGAAAGGTTCCTTAAATATGTGAGGGCAATTTCATGAATGCAACATTACATTATATGTAAGCACATTAGGCCTAAATTCTGGGGGACTACCGGCGAAACAAATAGCTATGCCCTGTGCTTGACTGATTAGGGAATCCAACTTTTGTAAGGCATTTTAGGTGGTGCCAATTATTATGATTGTAAAGACTTGGAAACAACCGAAAACTTTATAAATTCCATTTTAATTGTTGTTGGTCTCGGTGTGTATACAATGCAAACTATAAAGAATATAAGAAGAAAAGGAAATTCCGACACAAATACAGATGTGAGGTCCTGGACTGTCGCCAATTTCGTTCACCTCTTTCGCCTACACTGCTGAGGGGGAAAATTAAAAAGCAACTTCGTACTAATCATGTGCTTCTAGGCTTTTCTTGCCCTTTCGCCCCACTTAACTAAGAAATATGCAACACATACCGAACTACGTTGTGCCTACCTGTTACGTATATCTCTGAAGATTTTCAAATCTCCATCTGCAACTTCCATTTGGCCATTTGGTACCAGCCCATATTTGTGCAGAATATCAGTGTTCGTGATGTCAGTACACATGTCAAGCAACGGGTTGCCGAAGGCAGCTAAAATAGGGGGTTTGTACTTTTCTAAAATGCATTGCATTTTGATTTGCTTTATTCGTACTGATGTGATACGAGCGTAGTTAATTGGGATGTGATATGGGTCAGTCTAGTTAACAGGAAAGCATCTTGAAGGTTATGTAAATGTTTAATAACGTTCATTATGAGATAGAGTAAAACCATTTAATTTTAAAGTCAACATCTAAGAATCTCTTTATCTCTTTTGTAATTTATTATTAAATCACTGCAAATTAAGGAGGTTTAACGCATGTCATTTGATTGTATCATGTGCGTAGGAGCTGTAGGCATTAATCAATTCGTCGGTGATAAAGCAGGAGGATACATGGATTGGGATCGCATGTCATGTCTTTTTTTGCTGGAAAGGAGATAGTATCAGTTGTCTTTTGTGGAAAACATATTTTAATTGAAAATTTAGAAACACTGAATTACTGGTGGTATAATCTGTATTTTGCGCTGTTTAGTCTCCCAAAATTTAAGCTTGGAAAAGGTGTCTGCATAATATTTTGCAAGTAAGAGAAAAATGACATTTGTTCATGGATTTGTGCTTGATATAAGAAGTGCTTGTTGGTACAAATTTTTGAAAGCATATGAAAAAAATGTAAATATATTTATAACATCTTGTATTTTTTGGCAACTGCGTGAGGAGTATGTGTTGTTAACTGTAAAATGATTTAAACATATAGATTTATTTAAACGTCATATAGAGGAAACATTTGGAAGCTGTCTTATTTTATATTCTACACAATTGTGTCTACCTAGATATGTTTGGTTATGTTAGTGGTTCCATGGTGGGAAAAGTACTTTTCAAAGAGTATTGGTTCTACATTCGCAGAGGGAAATTCACACAATGATCTGCACCTTTACAACTCATTAAGAACTTGCAGTAAAAATTTTATGTAGGAATAAAGGAATATCTTTTGGGGAATAATTAGAATATGTTACTTTTTATTTAATATGGGTTCAGGTCATATGTCAGTTTTACTTTGATTGTGGGATAGATTTTGGCATTGAAGAAGTAGAACAAGGCAGGCTAGACCACAAACAAAATTATGGCTTAATACAGATATGGGTGGGCAGCCTGGAGGAGGCCACACAGATGTTTATAGAAATTCTGTGCATGCAACTGCATTTGCCATTGAATATGAGTGAGTAAATGAGTATGGTTATTTATTTACATTCTTAATTTTGCATCCTCTATCATATATTATCTTTCTACAAGGATATTTTAGCAATTTCATTACTTTTTCATGTGTGTTTTGTACTCCCTCAGCACATGTGAAGCTTAGGTGATGCTTCTGGTTCCATTGTCTGCACTTACTTAATGAAACTTTAATCTTAAGCAGTGTGTGCATCAAGGAACATGGAGGCAAAGGTTCTTCCAGATGAATAATCTGAACTTTTACCACAGAGATTTCCTTTCTTTATAAACAGCATACCGTAAAGACATGTAGGGGGGCATAGAGATTAATCTTAATGTACTCATATTCCTGGTACTAGATGTAAAGGGTCAGAATCGCACTCCAGTTTATGATATTCGTAATGCCCCACAGATAGGATGCTGGGTGGGCAGCATATGTGGTGGCAGGAAGCCACCATAAGTCATTATATTGATTGAGCTGTAACAGCTCATTGATTGGAAATTTTGTCTGTTTATAAAAATATATTTTCTCACCAAATGATACTTTGGCAGAAAGATAGAAAGAAAGGCAGTTTCCTTTCATTTTTAATACATGATATTTATATTTCACATATTGGAAAACATCCCCGCTTAAAGGTTAAGGAGCTGCATGTGTGTCCATTCCCTGGCCAAGTTGTGGATATGAAGTGCATATTAGACAGTAATATAGGGTCCTGAACTTTGGTAATGTCTTTGGAATATATACAGCTTTTGCTCTGATATTCGTTTAAGAAAATTTAAGCTAAGAACGTAGTGATGATTCTTTACTTTTGTGAATGTTGCATGGTGACTTTTATAAACACATAATACTGACAGTATTGAGTCTTGTAAGGTTTATTCCTTCAGAATCATGGAAGACGCATCACAGGCTATTTAGTCCCTTAATACTTCTTGATTTGAATACTGAACGTGTTGTCAGAAATTATCCAAAGATATTACACTGTTATGCTTAGTGACATGAATTATTATATCATGATGTATGGAATGATTTAATCTTCATAGTCTCTTAGTCAGTGTTTTATGTTTGTAACATATTTAAAAGTCATTTCAAATGTGTCCGTTAACATCAGAAGCTAATTTTGTGGTATGTTGTGTGGAAATTGTTGTATTGCATTTCTGAATATTTTTGTGTCATGAGTAGTCCAGGAATTGCAGTTCGTCTTTATAACATGTTTTTCAAAGATTCTTATTAACATTATTCTTTCATCCCTTCTCTTCTTTGTGGGTGGTATTTCCTTGTGAGATATACAAACCACTTGTTTCTTCATTCCACAAATAAAATTAAAACTTCTGTTTCAACTTTATAGTTGGATGTTCTTTATGCTCTAGCATGAGCAAAGATCACTCTCAGGGTCCGTCCGTGTTTATCTGCTTGTTGAATTTTTCCTGCGGGGGGTAGGTAAGCCCTATGACCAGATATTGTTAGGAAGCTAGATGGGCTGAGGCAATTGTTGGAACATGACTTTGTGTGACAATGACTTTTGATCAGGTGAGTGCAGCAGACCAAAAGTAATTGTTGCACAACAGTGACCTTGGATTACATTAGTTCAACAGTGACCTAAGGTCACTGTTGAACCAGATTGTTGAACAACAGTGCATCTACATGATGTGGCATGACCTTTGGAATGTCAGTGTACTCCACAGATTACATCTTTTCAATATTATTAACAATATTGCATTCAGGTAATACATGTCGTGATTGATTTGCAATACCATTAACTAATTTAATTATTGACAAAGTAATCGGCCTTTATTAACATACATTTCGGAGGAAAATCGTAATTAACTTATTATGAAATTAACAATAAATGTGCAATTTTAAATATGGTGCCAATAAAAGCTAGTAAGGTTATGTTGTGCATGCGGCACTGACAAATATTCCTGTAGTTAACGATAAGCCGGTAGCTCCAGTGATACTACGAACTGGGCGTAAGCTACAGAGCACATTGTAGATTTTGTACTGTGGAGTAACACACAGCCTGGTGTAAAGCGACATTTTTAAGTCATCAGTCTGTCATATAAAATAATTGTCCACATAGAAAACAGTCGATTAATCGGACCGACTCTCTCCTTGGTGGCTGTGTATCTGCTGTGTTGTTTGATGACTAGGAATTTCAATCAGATGATGTATTTATATGGGTTTTGTTTATTTCTCAGAGAGTACAGCGAATGTTTTCTTGAACTCCGTTAACCGAAAGATCTTTGTAACACAGATGCGGTGTTTTTTCGCTCTTACATCCTTCAAGGAGAAGAAGAAATTTCTTATTCTCCTGTTCGCAAAATAGTCTGTTTTAAATATATCGCCGTGTCATATGAATATGACAAACTATTTTTAGACGTCGCTCATATGCTGAAATGATCGCCTCTTGAGGAAGCATAATTTCCGTCCGTCTTTTGCTTCCTCTCTGTTTATTTATATCAGTGACATATAACCGTATGTAATAGTCCAGAACCTCATCCATTCCGAAATTTTAATCAGAATTACATGGGACTTGCATTCGTCTTGTACTTTATTGTTAAGTTACAGATTATGTTTTATAGTGCTGCAGTTTGTTACCTTTAGAGTCAAGAATTGGTAAGACAGGATTGTATATAAGTTGACATGTACGAGGTTTACATATGTTTGAGGCTGTACTCAAACGATGTACTATAGCGATCACGGTGTGACAAGTGTTGAAAGGTCATTTGATTAATCACAACAGTCGAAATTAACATGAAATAGCCCATTCGAGAATGTAGATCCATCAGCCATCTTCACTGACGTTCACAGGATCATCTGAGGGTGTACCAGGCTGACACAACTCGCCTTGGGCTCTGTATCACTGACAGCCAATGCTGTCGTTGCTGTTTACCCACAACGTGACTGCCGATAGCCACTTTGCCCAAACACTTGTCCTTGCATTTTTTGCCCGTTTGTCCATCACTGGCCTCACACAAGGTTCGACTGCACAGGAGCACGAGGAAGGTCGTTGTCTCCAGGTGGCTCGGGCTGAGATCGAATGTTAGGGTCTCGTTGAACTCTGGAGATTCAGTGCCGTGCTTGAAGGCTGTTTTCTTCCGCTTAATGGATCGACCTGATGACCCGCTCAGCTGGATGACACGCACGTAAGGATCTGGAAGACAGTCCAGCACAACAGATTGGTTGGTTGTTCATTGATTTAGTTAATGCTCCTTTCTCAAATAAAAATGCAAGGCAGGGTTACGGGTCTTTTAAATTAGTCCCGCAGAAAAGGAGGAGTTATCTTATTCTGAGTTTAGTCAAGCCCCAACTGAAAGCTAAGGGTGTGGCGATAGAAGGGTCACGCAGCTTTGCTGGAATGATGAGTGACAGGAGAAAACCGAAGCAGTCGCAGAAAAGTTTGTGCCTGTGTCAGTTGTGATTTCGTTCGCCAGACTGCCTTGGATCGAGCTCGGGTTTTAGCGGTAAGAAACCGATGCCTACTCTAATAGTCAGTGTGTATAAAATACGAAGTTATATTTATTTTGGTTTATTTAAAGACGTCAATAGCTCAGACTACATAGCATCGAATGACAGGATCAGTAATTAATAATGAATCGGAATGAATATATAAGGAAGCGGTCGTGGTTTTATTCACAGTATTATCCCGGAATTTGCCTATAGGGGCCGAGGAAAACAATGAAACCCCCCAGGATAGCCGTTTCCGGGCTCATAGTACAGAGTCTTTGTGAAAGAATAGGCCTAACAATTTCTCGTCTGCTCTCCCGAGTATGAGTAGATGTCTAATATGGTTTGTAAGCTTCAGATCAACATTTTGTATGCATTTCTGATATCCATATGCTTTCTACATGACCTTCTGACCTGATGCTCCTTGCTTTAATCTCCTTAACAGGCACAGTTGTTTGAATGCAAATATTTAATTTTGTAAAGACACTAACTGAAATCTGCTATGGAGTCGGCTATCTCGAGGTACTTCAGGTTGCTGGCTTTAATGACGCTGACGGAGAGCCTCTGAGCAGTAGGGAGGTAGCTGACGCCAAAAAGCAGGTCACCCACCTCCTGAAAAAGACAACAAAACTTTTAATTGTACTTTTAATCTTCACGGCTTATTATCTTAGAGACACGTAGGTCAGGAAGGGAAGAGGACAATTCTTTACCCAAATTATTTATTGCTTATCAAGTGTTTAAGTAAAGCTACTGTAGTCCGTTTGTACGCTCAAAGTACATTTGTTTCACTAATTCAACGCTTTTTGAACTTAACTATGGTTCCGTTAAATACACATTTATTCTCATTCACTGAAACGAAATCGGCGAAGTTCTTTTCAAAATTCCTTTTTCAATTGAACCATATGGGAAGGAAAGAATAGGCAGTTACTGAGAGGGTGTAGATATCGTGAATAATAACATACAAATTCTTTCACATGATAGCAAAGAAACTGGTTTGGATGTATATATTGACAGAATTCATTTTACGCCTCCATGTCACGAAATCAGAACCTACAATTAAATATTAATATAGACATAGATTACACCGTGCACCGTTGCAGTCGCCATCCGCAGGGCATAGCGTGGTTGTTGTAACATTGCGTTTCATTGCATGCATCAATACATGCTGCAACACTCACCCTATTCGTTTTCACCAAGTTACAACTGATGGTAAGGGCCTCTCTGGCAGTAGTGAGGTTCTTCACGTCACGAAGTGCCAGACTGACGTCGCACAGCTCCGTAGCGTTGGAGTACTTGTCCTGGTCGTATGCGGTCACCTTGAGGCACCATTCCTGTTAAAACACCAGCCATTGCATAAGTTTATGTGGATGCGGGATTGATGTAAGTGACGTTCATAAGTCGTTTTCACTTATCATTTAGAATCAGCCTACATTTCTTCAGTGATATTTATTATCAGTAGTTGATACAATTATTATTATTATTAGTGTTCTGTCTGACGACAGGTTCGTTTCCTCGGCAGATGATTCAGAAGTGGTTTGCCATTGCCTTCTTCTGTATGTAACTGATGATGAATGTGAAGTAATTGTTGGGATGCCACGGAGAAACCAGGGAAGCCTCGGAGGAAAACTCCGTGATACCTGGACCACGGCCTTACAATAGCGTAACATAACTGAATTATAATCTCAACGTGTGTGCCTTGGCATGATTGCTGCGGACTGGATGACCAGGGTTCGAATCCTTGTATGGCGTTGGAACTGACAGCAGATAACAAAACGGTTCACCTAGTAAATGCAGTAGACGCGAACGTAACGCTAAAGCCAGACCATTCTCCTGAATGGATTGTTTATAGCTTTCCTCAGGCCCTCCAAAGAAATGTCGGGAGTACCTTAAGTTAAGCCACGGCCGCTTCCTTCCCTGTTGTTCCAAATTCATTATACATTAATCGTCTGTTATTCCACGCTCAATCCATCACTTTAATTTTCCTCCGTGGCATTGAGCACTTACTGCACCTTTAATTCTGATCGCTTCACATCCAGCACAAACGTCTCGTCGAAGAAGGGATTGAAGGAGTGGCGAAGTGTTCTGGTGCGAAGTTCATGCAGTGCTGGCCCAGCTCGGCGATGCAAGGGCCAAGTAGTTCGTGCCACTTGCACCACAAGGTACGGCTCCAGACCTCCAGCGTACTCGCGAGACGGTAAGCTTTTAACATCCTGTAACAGGCAGTCAGTTCGTACGTGATGTTTTAACAAGAGATCTTATAGTCTTGTAGGAGGATTCCAAGGTTTCGGAGTAATATACAAGTGCGTCTCGTAAAACTCGCTTTTGTTGTCCGAATTTTCGCACGTCTGCAGTTTTATTTACACATCATGAGCATCAACTTCCTATCGGCGGTTACTATAGAAGCTACCGCGCAGGTCCACTGACATCCCACCATTTTGATTCCGGGGACTATAAATTAAGACCTGTCATGGTTTATCACTCAGAAAAAACTACTTCCAAGTTATGTTTCCCGTTTTACATGTTTTCGACATACGCGGTGTTCCTTAGGAACGCAACCCCCGCGTATAACGAGAGTCACTTGTTCTGCCTCCTTTAATCATGGAGTAGTAGTATGTATGTTCCTCAGTCACTTGTTCTGCCTCCTTTAATCATTGAGTAGTAGTATGTTCCTACCAAGCTTTTTAACAAACTTGTAAGCGCATATGGTGTCACACCCCAGAACACCAAAATCCACATTCTGTATACGTTGTATTCACCACTATGTGAACCTCGAATCTCATTTAAATTATCCATCCACGCACCCGTCTTCACAAGAACGCATAAAATTGTTTATGGCGAAGCTAGAAAGGAAAAGTCTGCCTGTTTTAAGACACTATCTTTGGATTTTAACAAGAACGTGCATTGAAATAGAACACTATAAATGAGAAGTTGTATTTACGTACCAGAAATGAGATTACCTTTGCAACAGCGGTTTCAAATCTGCTATAGTTGATTAGTGGTACAGTGAATGAACGTGAATCTGCATGTCCTCTGTTAGAATGCACATTTTAGATCGTACCTTAATGTTGATTACGAGCCTTCCAGTACCGTTTTCGTCGTTAGCCACATATTGTAGGCTCATGGTTAGTACAGGTGGACCATTGTTGGCGCTGCAGTCGTTACTACAACTGTCCTCTGTCGTCACACTCTGAAAGTACACATCTCTTGATATTTGTCTCAAATTTATGATCATTGATAATTAATTACGATGTTTCAACAGTATGAATGAGCGGACGAATGAGGAGGGCGTATCGATGTACGTTGAAATAGGATTCGGAGGGGAAACCGTAACAAGTCTACTTCAGGGTACATGGCATCATTTTCGAAAGACTGAGGAAAGTCACGGGAAATATTATGCAGTTTAATCTATCATCAGGGCGAATCGCTCTGATGATGAAGGCAGCAAGGACCTCTGAAACGTCGGCAAACTTCTGCCAGACTACATCGTGCAACAACCCGGAAAACAGCCATCTTCAGGAGCTGTTTTGTGCCGACGGGAAACTGGATGTACCGAATAAAATATGAGTTTGAGCATTTATGCTAGAAGTGTCACCCTGTTCAAATGAACTTGTACAACATCTTTTGCGCCGACTGACTGTCCGTTCGAGATAGGTTTGCTGGTCTTCTTTAGAAACTTGATATTGCAGCCAGATAAGTTACGGGATACGAACTAGGCTACCGCGATTCCGTTCATCACAACATATGGTGCCCAGCGCCCTCTGATATGGGTGCTATAAGTCATTTCTCTTAGGCTTGAAGGCGGAGAGAGCCGAAAGTTGACCACTCTCCTCTGTTTGTGACTAGTCAATGCATGAACCCTTACTTATTTATGAATTCAATAATGACGTTATTTAGGCACAGTCTAATTTGAGCCTTCTCTGTGATAACCCCAGAGCTCTGACGTGTTTTTAATAAACGACGCTGTGGTGATAGGGCAGTCAGTGGCGATGCAATGATTATATCTGGGGTATAGGAAATTAAACTGTCAACATGTAGGTTACGTTTACATTTGGTCTCTGTTTAATTACTACGCTGACAGTTGAAATAAATATTGAAATTGTCTTCTTAAAATCATTGACCTACCAATTTATGGGATTTGCTTACCTTCATGGAAAGTAGGGAGCGGTTGTCTGTAGCTTCGGACATGGAGCTGTACGTGGAATCGCGATGGTTGGCCATGCGGCCAATCAGTGATCCGGTGGAATTTACCGAATTCACTGAAACATACGTGAATCGGTTATGGAGAAAATGAAGGCGACACTTGACTGAAAGACGGTTTATGCTACGTTTCGTGCCTCATTGGCCGTGATGTTTGTTTTATGTACACAGAAACGAATTATTATAAGCAAACATTACTACAGATAATTTTATATCATCACACAAAGTCACATTTTGTCACATTAAATATTTACCTAATCGAAAAATGTTTCTCACAAGTTGTGTATTTTTAATACCTCACACATACGAATTGAATTTTAGTGCTAATTTTGGTTTTTTTTAGGAAGTTGATAAGTTCAATTCGAGCTTTGTATAAAGTAGGGCTTACATTGTTCTGTTACAGATAAAAATAAGATTCGATTGTTAAAGTATAATGTAAACTGCCCAACACCATATTTGCTTGGAATTCGTTTAGTAGTTCCTGAAATGAAATACACGGACGGACAGAAGGAGGGACGAACACTCCAAAAAGCACCATCATGGTAAGGCGTGCAGTGGCTTCTTGTTCACGCCGAGTTTCGTTAAAATACGTAATTTCCCCCTGTAGTGTATAGGACCCGTGTTTATAATTTGATCAGGGAAGGGACGGATAGATAGCTTATAAGAGTTTCATAGTTTTTTTTTCATACAGCTCTCGTAAATAATTTAATGAATGTGAATATATTTTTATTTTCCAATATTATGGTAACCCAGACGCAGACGTTAAATATACCTGTGTTGTGACTGGCGTAGGAGGGTAGATGATTCCTTTTCCAAGGATAGTCGTAATCGGATAGTTTCAACGTGTCTTCCGCGATGTGATTCGCATATCCATTGGCCTGTCGTCTCCGTCGACGTTCTTCCTCTATAAAATGTAAAACGATATTTATAACATAGTTCTAGGGCAAAATATTGTATGTGACAAAGTTGGCCAGTAACGCCACCAATTCATCTTCCTCATTTTTGCAGAGCCTGTGCCTTGCATAATGGTCGTTAGTGGGTTCTCAAACAAGTTGTAATTGTTCCATGTCATAATCCCACTGAAAGAGATTTGCAGTGGCGTATTTTCTTGTAAGTTCCTGCCAGCTCGGCGTGTTCAGTGCTAACCAGCCAAGTGTAAAAGAGCCGTTCGGCTAAACTTTCCCTTTATCAGCCAGCGTTATCGTTGAGCCAGTTCAGTAGTGAAATAAAGGGTAGATGATAGCGTTTATGCGTTCAGGAAGTTTTCGTTTGAACAATTATTACAGCAGAGCTTAATTATTTAATAGTTTCCTATTTGAGGTATCTGGTACAAATTTTGGTCATTGCCGGCTTCTGTTTTCTCAAATAAAAATAAGAAACTTAATACAGAGAAATGGACAATAAGGAAAGAAATGAAGAATTCTGTCTTCTGGGTTGTTGCGCTGTGTAGACTGGTCGATGTTAACCAACGTTTCAAAGGTCATACTGCCTCCGTCATCAGGGCGATGACGCCCTGATGACGGAGGCGGTATGACCTTTGAAACGTTGATAAACATCGACCAGACTACACAGCGCAACAACCAAGAAGACAGAAATCTTCATACTCACTGCTGTGAAAACCTCAAATCTTACAAGGAAAGAAATGCGCCCCAAATATTTTATTACAATAAAAAAATTGCTAAAGTGAGCGGCTATACCATCTCAAGAATATCTGTGGTTTCACCCAGGCCCCATTCAGTAAATACTACCATAGGCCCCTTTCTGAGCCGTGAATGTGGCTACCCATTCCTTCCCAGGTCAAGGCTGCGTGGCAAAATAATTATATTGACCTTATTTCGCATGTTTTATTTGTAATAAGCCTTATATATCAGCGTTAGGCCAGTCCAAAAAAATGTAACATTTTCAACGCCTTGCGTTTTGTTTTTGAAGTATTCCTATCTACATACTAATTAATTTGAGAGTCGAATGGACTGGTTACCTGTCGTTACAAATTTGACTATCGTTTTTACTCGTTAATCCAGTTTGCATTTCCACACTCTACTTCTGTAAGATATGATTTAATATTATCATACTCTTTTCACCTAGCTCTCTCAAGTTCTCTCTTCCCTTGGCATTTTCTGACTAATACCTTCTGTGTACTAATTTTGCCCGTGTGGTCTAAATGCCCCGTTCATGTCACTTTCCTAACTATGTTAGTCGGAAGGGTACGAATTACGAAGCTTCTCATTATGTTTAATTCCATTTTGCTTATTTACGTCTCTTCCCTAGTACCTGTGTTTCAAACACGTTCTGTTCATACCTTAGAGTAAGACAAACTTGATCACTTCCTCTGATGAGAGAAGAGAAGATAATGGTTCAGAATGTTTGAGAACAAAGTGCTTTTGAGAATATTTTGGGCGTAAGAGAGAAGCAGAGAACATACTGCATAAGGCTTCGAAGAGGTCGCTACAGTTTTTGAACTGGCTGATCTGTGGTGACTAGGTGAAAAAGGGTAAAGATACAACTTCATCTATTTCGCTGAATGACAGACAAATCGAACTGCAGGAGTCTATTAGCACGTCAAACTTCCTATGAATTAAAAATATCCGGGCATAGTTTCATCATGCTCAGTACTTTCTCTACGTACTGCAAACAAGAAAGTGAAAACGTGCCGTGAATAAAAACTAAGAGAGCAGAAAATTATATACTAGGAATATTCAGTAGCAGACTATATATTAATGTCTGTACTCCATCCAGTTTATATCACATGTCTATTTATGCAAGTCCTTCGCTTAAAGACTTTCATTATCCACATGTTTTATTTGAATTTACTTCCATAAGTAGGTCTTGTATAGTTAATGTACGTACTTATTGATGTGTATAAATTGTATGCTGTGCTGGTCTGTGATTGAAGGGGCATCTACTTAACACAGCCCTCCTTTCTACACGCTTTGCACGATTACCCAGTCGGTTTATGCATCATTTGCACAAATTGCGTAAAATAAGGCCATAATGGGCAAGTCATGAGTATCCGGTCTTTCCAGTGCATATATGTGTATTTATAAGTAATATATTTACAGAAACAAGTACATTCATAAGGTAGATCATTTCACAGTTTCCCTTAGCTACCACAGACAACTGATTGGTTGGTGAAAATGGCTGTCTTCTGGGCTGTTGCGCCGTGTTGTCTGGTAGATGTTTACCGACGTTTCCGATGCCCTTGCTGCCTCAATCATCAGCTTACATAATACTGATACAGGTGACTTGTTCTTGTTTTTCATATCTTCGGTTTGATTTCAATATTTTGTGAAGCATCAGTATCCTTTCATGCCGCCACGTTAGAAGTAGCCGCCCAGGGTCCACTATGTTGCGAGCGTATTTTTTACTGTCACACCCCACAGTTTCGACTTCAGGGATATATTGCGAAGAACAGTGGGTTTCAACCTTCTATTCACTGATAAAACGCGGAACACAAACGTATTCCATATTCTGTGGCATCCCCACCATTGTAATTTCTTCATGAAAACGCTTTACAGCCCTGAACTGATTAAGATATAATATGGAAGGAGATGAGCAAATTAAAACACATTTTAATGGCAATAAAAATGGAAAAAAATTGTTTAAATTTCTACGGCAAACTTGGAAGGGAACCACTGGCTTAGAAAATCCACGGGCATGACAAAAATTTTCCGTTTTATGCATTTTCGGTGTACGCAGGAAGTCAGATCTCCTTTATAACGAGAGTTACCTTTATTAAACTACGGACACATTTGATGAAAAGTAGATTGGAAAGTAAGTGAAATGCTTTTTGAAGTGGGTTTACAGTGCAACCCCTAGTGTTGAAGAACTTACCTCGATGCATCCATTCATAGCCCCAGCATCCCGGACCTACGAAGCATACAACAATAATGAGGGTGATCATCACAACCCCCGCTCCAATTGCCATGACCAACACTTTCCCCCATGGACCCAGCTGGAGCACCATCTGCAACAACATAACACCCTTAGTAAGATTCGAGGTTCTCACGGCGGCGAGTGTGAAGATGGCTGATTTATGAATTATTGCGCTGTGTAGTCTGGTAGAATTTTACCGACGTTTCAGATGTACTTTCTGATTCAACATCAGGGCGATCGCCCTAGAACGTAGGTTAACTTCTACCAGACCACATGGCGCAACAGCACAGAAGACAGCCATCTTCACACTCACCATCGTGAAAACCTCGAATCTTACAGGCCGTGTCTGAATTATGGCTGCACTGCAGGCCATTGTAGGTTCAGGAACATTTCTCGATCCAGGCACCCGGAATTCCGTGTCGCATCTCTGATAAGTGTGCAGGAAGTAAAGCCGCAGCTAGATTACTGTGCTTGCAATCTCTTCCAGCACGAAAACAACTCTCTTCTCTCTCAAACATAATGGAGTTGCCAATTAGAACAACGTGTTGTTTGCACAGAGTGAAAGCAGACAGGAGATAATTACCAGCGCAGTAACTTCGGTTGTAATAACAGTTCATCTTGTTCCTTACGGCAGAACGAACAAATGAATTTTGGCCAACATTCCTCATTGTAGATGTCAGGTACCATATTCCATGGAAATCCTTCGAGTAATTTTGGGCAGACATGATCAGGCAGACAGTTTCTAGGCGTTATTTTATGCACTTTACATAAAGAACACACAATAAGACTCGAATTCAAAGAGTGACTGACGTGACCACCATCCTACCCTGTAAAGCTGTTCCATTTTGATACGCTGTATGTGTATTTTCTTACATTTTTAAACACAATTTTTATTTTTCACATATTCATTGAAATGTACGTAGTAATTTGTGATTCGTGAATTCCGTACGAAATATTACATATTAGAAATTTAAAAAATGGAATTTGTTGCATTAATGGAAAATGGAAGAATTAGGTATTCAGTAACCGACCAGAATTTTTGTTTTGAACGACGTAGAGATTAGATATCCAAAAAGTGCATGTTTTTTGTGATTTTTCGTACGCCTACCTCATTGTTCTTCTTCAAATTAATTTGTTTCAGAAATAAGTTTGATACAGAGTTACAACATTGTACGTAACACTACATAAAGTCACAGATTACTTTAGTGCTGGTTTCTATAAAGTATCGTATCATAAAAAGGTGTTTGTAATCGATATTTTGTGTTGCCAGATGTTCAGTACGATACGTTCGAAACATTTCAAGCAAGATTGTTGATCTTGATAAGATGCAATTTGATACAGCTCGATTTCAGATTCGTGTATAGAAAGATCATTGGAACGAAGTCCTACCAGAATTAAATTCTCCCGACAGCTTTGGTGTAAGGTGAAGTTATTCATCTGGCTTTTGGCTCTGTGTAGACTCGCCGTCAGATGCCAACGTTTCGGAGAAATATACTTTCATACTGTCTGCATCTTCAGGGCTAAAGTTGCTAACCGTATGTTTCTTCGAAACGTTGGCGTCTTTCGACGAGTCTTTACGGCGCCAAAACCCAAAAGAGCAGCGTCATCTTCACCGCCGTGAAAACCTCGAATACCGTACAGATTTATTGTAGTTCTTTAACGCCAAATACCATTGAAATCTGTTGAATAGTTTCGGATATTAAACATCAAGAAATACACACAGCCTCAACATTAGGCGTTGATTCTGTGAACTTCGTATGAAGAAGAAGTGAAAAGTTGCAGTGAGTCCTCTTTTATCACGGTTTGCTGTATTATTTACATGAATATTCGCAGTCTTACATTGGTTACTTTCAGTCAAACCTTTACTGTACTAAACTTTCAGTCGAAAGACAGTAGAAAAAATGTAGCACAACTTGAACTTTCGAAGTTTATGGCTTTATGAAACGAGTGATGATGTGGTGAATCTTAAGAAAACGTTAATGATACCAACATCTGTTTTTGCATCCTGTTGTGGTATTATTATGGAAAATTAACAAAGGCTTTGTCACACACAATATATATTATTAAAAATGTAGAACTGAACTCTGGGCAACATATTTCAATCATTCAGGATCATCTTCGGGCCCTTGTCGATACATAGATGTATTGTGTGACGGAGTCTTTGTTAATGTTATCATATTTTGTATGAAGTAATGAGAGGAGAAACTAGAGAAGTGGTGTAGTTATAATATTTAATATTATTAAAGAGGATACCATAGACTATATCGGTTAAATTGCGATTAATCGTTTATAAGAGGGGTTTTACGAAGTCGTAAAACGGTGACACAGAATCGGAATGAAGAATTGTTGGGATAGGAAAGTTGGGAAGGTCATGGAAGTGTATACAGGGCGCAAGGACAAAAATTTTGGTAGTTATCATGGTTAAAGTCTGAAGAGATGTTCTGCATATTGCAAGTATTTTTAGATAAAGAAGCAGAGATATCAATTTTCTGAAGGAGAACGACGTAGATTAGTGAGGTGGTATCCTAGTAATACTGTTCAATTAGGAATGAAAGGGAAATACTTGTATAAAGCTAGATGTAAGTTGGAGAGTACAGTTAGTAAGTTAAAAAACCAAAGAATTGCACTTAGAAACAGCTATGTCAGGCTGTAGTCCGAAAAAAAATCTGTTGTTGGACACAATCTTATACGTAGACAATCGAGCCAAGTAAATGATTGGTTAATATCAAACTTTCAACATTCTTACCTTGTTTCAGGCTAAAATCCAGTAATTTAGGTTGCAGGGGATTAAATATTGATGTGAACCATTGTCCCGTGTGGGACACCATACGATAGCACAGTACACCACGCTAGTCGCTTTGCACTAACCATGTTTCCCTGCTGCATTACATCCCTGATTACACCGTTCGTTCGTCGTGTGTGTTGTTAGCCTACGTCATGTGCTAACGACATATGGTCGCGAGGCGGAAGCAACAACTCCTATTAGTCCGTAATCGAAACATTAAAACCAGTGTAGGAATATTTATCATTCTCGGTACAATTAAGTTTTAAGCGTGACAAGTGTAATTATGCACATAAAAATAACCAGACAAGGAACAAACAAGCCAAGAAGTGAAACCCGAATGCTTAAGCGACGTTCGCCATTGAACACGATCCTTAGCCAGTTCCGTTCACCTCCGAGTCTCATATTGTGTTTCAGTAAGATCCATGCTAATGTTTTCCTGGGGCTTCCAATTGGCCGGTTTCTGAAAGGATCTGCTATGTGCCATCAAGCACAGCCTTGAAGGCACATGAAGGGTTGAAGCATTCTTAACCACGACACTAAAGGGCTAAGGGAAAGAAATGAGTGGTGTCACCATGTAAGAGACTGGGTGCTCTCCACAGCAAAAGGGGACAATTCTGGCGCGATCGGTAACATTTTACCGCAGACCTTTGCGAGTAATCATAGCCGGTGATTCCCCACGTGGTTGAGTGTTTGTTTCTTTATTTATTTGATGATATACTGATTACCCCCACGTGGTTAATGTTGTCCGATTTTAACCAATGACGTAATCATTTTGTTAAATTGTCTGCTACTCAGTTTTTGGACAGTTACTAACTTAATCCAGTTGTTAATACAATAATAATAATAATCAAATCGTGTAAGTTCTCATCATTACAACAGTAAAATTAACCTTCGTTAGTATGTAACTGTTGTTGGTACACATTTTAGTTATGTGGGCGGCAGGTGGCAGTACAGTATTTAATTTTTTTTATAGAGGTATTGCGTAGTAAAGTGACTTATGTTACGTGTATTTTTTTTGTCTCGCTCTGTATTACACATAACTACTTCAGTACTCACACCTCCAAACCCGACACAAATGCAGGCTTTCAGTTTTGCAGTTCTGAGACAAGTCTATTTTTCCAGTGATTCGTTGAATTTTAACAATTTGCCACTTTAACTCCAGATTTATAGACAGTGAACGATGAGTATTAAGTTCTGGCGAAGGAGAAGGAGGCTGTTGTCTATCTGTTGCCCTGAATGTGGAAGCATAATTTTCCTCTGAAACGCTGGTAAACATCCGGAAGAATACACGGCGCAGAAACCCAGATCATTAGCTACAAAAAAATGCCAGGTGAATAGTGCGGATTATGAAAATTATCTATGTGCAGGGCCGGATTAAGATTTCGCGAGGCCTTGAGCCGTAGTTAAGATGAGGCATCCTGATTAAAAATGGAGACAAGAAATTATATGTTATTTCATAGGTATTGTTACTGTCAAAATTAAAAATATTTTAAGTGAATAACGAGAAATATTTGTAGTTCGCTGTTACTATCGACACCGAAACTGACTCGCCCGTGACTCACGCGTACAAGTCCCGCCTACGTCAACAGCACCGGCCGATAACACAATGTAAGCACGACCGTAAGCTCATAAATTGGAGACCCGGTAATTTGTCAAATAAGCTTATTGACTGAATACAAATAATAAATCAACTAATTTGTTAAAGAAACTTATTGAGTAGGCTACATGTGAACCTTTCTGCGACAGTAAATTAGTAACGTTGATGTTATGTGTATCCCGGGTCTGTAATAATTTTCAGAAGCGCCTATTAATGCTATTTGGCATGCAATAATTGCTTTCTAAGAAAACATTCAGATGGCGAAGTTAAGTACCATAAGATTTTGAGTAATCCCCGTAGTTGAAAGGTGAAGTGAGAATTCATTCCTAGAATTTAATCAGAATGGGGACTGTGGATAAGATTTTTGTATCCCGGGTCTGTAATAATTTTCAGGAGCGCCTATTAATGCTATTCGGCATGCAATAATTGCTTTCTAAGAAAGCATTCAGATGGCGAGATTAAGTACCATAAGATTTTGAGTACTCCCCGTGGCTGAAAAGGTGAAGTGATAATCCATTCCTAGAATTTAATTAGAATGGGAACTGTGGATAAGATTTCAAAGGAAATAACGTGCTAAAGAATGAATTCTCCTAAATTTGGTCGAGTTATTGGTGACCGTATTTTCGTTACATTAAACAGGCTGCTTTTCAGTGTAGACTTACGTTCAGTATTCGATACTGAAGATTAAAAACATTGTAGAATTTATTCTAATGTCTTTTTTACGTGGATATGGAAAACATAACTTTGAGACCCTGAAAATGGCGAAGCCCTAAGCTGTAGGTTAATGTCTGTTCTGAAACGTACAGTAAGAGACCACATTTCACATCATACAAAATACTTTGGTGCCATAAGCCGCTTACATCACAGACAGGATTGTGGATTCCATTTGCTACGTGTCGGCAGGTGTTGTCATGCAAGTCACTTCATAACTTGTAACTTGTCTGATAACCTATGAAGGTGGCAACTCCCACAGACTGAAACTTTGCGTTATACCAACGTGTATACATGTTGTGCTCAACAGATCGCTATAAAATCTAGCAGCCTAGACGTCAAAGAACACAAAATTCTTAGCCTCGACACCAGTCCGACTGTCTTTACACCCAGACAAAGAACCGCCGGTCCCTACCGGCGTGGTAAGTCCTAGATGTGGTAAATAGTAAATTCCGAAAGCCTCTACAAGGAATAGAAACATGGTCCATGAGACCCTAACCAATCAGTTTATTGGCAGCCGTTACGATTCAGTGTCGTTAAAACGTTCAAAATAAACGCATAATTTTTACTTTTCACCTCGTATGTGTGAAATATATGCATCAATAATTTTGGTTGGAAATCCTCGAGGAAAAAAGAACATTTCGGAGGGACGGGTGTAGATGGAAAGATAATATTAAAATTTGCATTACAGAAATAAGTTGTGAAGAAGTGGATTGAATTTCACTGTCTCAGAATATAGTCCAATGGCAGGCTTTTGTGGACACAATGATGGACCTTTTGTTTTCTTAAAAATGGGGGTTTCTTCAAATAACCCACCACTATCTCCTTTCATATTAATTCCGGCTACTCAGTAGTAGTGTTTAATAGGGTTTGTTGGTTTTTAAAAACCGGTTTTTTTTTGGATAAATTTGTAAAATTCGAAAACCGGTTTTTAAAATTTAAAATCCGGTTGTAGATACTAGCAAAACCCTTATCTTCTCTTCATTCATGATCATTTTCCCATGTCACTCGTCTGCATATACGCGTCGTCTTCCGATAACCTAAGAATCTGTGATCACTTGTTTAGTTATGCAACGCGTGGTTGGAACTAAAGAGAAATGCTTTTGCTTGTGCATTTGTATTTACACTGCATCGCAGAGTATGACATTTTCCTTTGCAGGAGAGAGTGTGGGATTACTTCGCTATGACCCGCTGACCCAAATACTGCTGTTCGCCGATAGGTACGTTCATTTCACCACAGCATACGAGTGATGGTTGGCTGTGCAGTGGCTAGAGATGAAGCAGTCGTATGTTTCTCTTGAATCTACGAGACAACCAGCAGCGCCGTATGATCACTTGTTTAGTTATGCAACGCGTAGTTGGAACTAAACAGAAAAGCTTTTGCTTGTGCATTTGTATTTACACTGCATCGCAGTGTATGACATTTTCATTTGCAGGAGAGAGTGTGGGATTACTTCACTATCACCCGCTGACTCAAATACTGTTGTACGCCGATAGGTACGTTCATTTCACCACAGCATACAAGTGATGGTTGGCTGTTCAGTGGCTACAGATGAAGCAGTTGTATGCTTGCTTGTCTTGAATCTACAAGACAACCAGCAGCGCCATCTGAATCATGCATAACAGTGCTGTCGATTTCGAAGGTTTCGTGCTTCTACTGATACGTTCAGCTTATCATGATGATTAATGAGGAACTTGGAAGGAAACGATTATGGGCTGTGTGAAGATATTATCTCATTGGATTTTAAGGAAACAGAATTCGGATGACCAGTGTTCAGTTGGCTGAGGATCGGGTATAGTGGGGTTTGTATTATCAGAGTTGAATATTTAGGTTACGAGACTTAATGAGTTAGTTGTTCTGTTTGTTTGATATTGACTGGTTGGTTAGTTTGTCTCTCAACTAGCAGGTCAGTCGGTTTTTGTATAAACCCTAGTGTTTAAGTTTTCGTGTTATTGAATGCTAACCCAAGCAATCAGTTGGCTGAGGATCGGGTATAGTGGGGTTTGTATTATCAGAGTTGAATATTTAGGTTACGAGACTTAATGAGTTAGTTGTTCTGTTTGTTTGATATTGACTGGTTGGTTAGTTTGTCTCTCAACTAGCAGGTCAATACAGTAGATTCTGGTTAATTGGGACACATCGGCCCAATTATGCGAAGTTCCACGTAAAGAGTTGAAAAGATTTGTCCCAAATAAACAGCCGCCCCGATTAACCGATTGCCCAATTAACGGGAATGTACTGTACTTTGTTGTTTCCTTGGTTAGTCAGTCAACCAGTCTGTTGTTTAACTAGTTAGTAGTTAGAGGTATGTTTTTTGGTTGGTCGGCTGTTTGTAGGATATTTAGTCAGTTACAATATAATCGTTTGGAAGACCTATCAAGCAAGAAACATGATGTATACAAAGTAGAACGAAGGGCAGTTGTTGGAAATTAAACGAGTTGTGCGCTCTGCTTTGCTTGGCAGTTGTTATTCTTGCCACGTACGAAATTCGTCACATGAGCACATGATACGACTTGGAAGGTTTGTTGTTTTGTTTCGAGCTACCTCATCGGCCTTTGTGTTCAGTTATTTTAGATACAAATCTACTACTGCAGGTACTGGTATTGCAATCTTCTTAACTGTCAGAATTAGTGGAAATTGATAGCAATTCCATGACTTTTGGCAAACTAATTCGTGCGTGAACAACCGTTGCGGGGGGTGGGGGGTTCGAAGAAAAAGTGCTGTCGAGTCCGTAGTCATTCGTTTTCATTTACTAGAAGAATCGTTATCAATTTCTCAGAAGTGTGACGTCATCCACACATCAACTTGCCGATACCAATACTGTAAACTGAAAATTTATTCGGCTGTGGATCTGAATGCACGACTTGACCAGCTATCCATTACGAAACCTGGGATAAATGTTTTCAGCATGGCGTTGCCAAGACTTCCACCGTGACTGTTACGAGCCGCTCATGCGCCAAACAGTTTGCCTACTGTTGCAGAGGCACGCTGTAGACATCACACTGCATATTGAGAATGTTGACTACCTTTAATTTCGTTAGGATCTGCCATTACTGCATTGAGACAAGTTTCGAATGAAAGTTGTTAATCTTATTCCTTTAATAGCCCAATGGTAACTGAATTTACCACATACCTTACTATTCACTAGCCCTACAGAGGGTGTATTTATGCATTTTCTATGATTCTTAGAATAAACAAACTGTTTTCTTAAACAGCATTAACTAACTGGTCTATGTAATAGATAACTTGTGCTTTCCTTTAGATTTTGATTGAATATTTAAATATTGTTTAGATGAGATTAAGATTTAGAGGATAATGAAAGCTATATTCCATTTTACTCGCCAATGTTTGAATGGTGAGTCAATTTTTATGTAATAGGTAAAGTTTGGTTTGAGCTTCATGTGAAATAAGATTTATACTGGACCATTATGAACAAACATTAAACTCATCCAGCAACCTGCAAAATTGTTTCCAAGACAGATCTGCATGAATCCCATTTGGTGGCTTTAGACGTGAACGGAACACTACATTCTCTATATGTGTTCACTTTGTGCATTGTGTAGAAAGAACTTCTCATAAAATCTAAATTATATTACTGGATCCTCCCAGACTGCTGTCTGGTGTGTTCTGCAGGTGAAATGAAGAGCATGAAGCTGATGGTGTTTTCTAAAGGGGAAAGTAAAAATATGGACTTCACATGAAATATAGTTTGTTGACTGTAATCTTGAGACTTGCGGGGTGAGGAAGTGGGGTGAAGGAGGAAGTAGGAAAGATAGCGTCTGCCTTTAATGCTTCAGACTTCCTGCATTCTTTGCAAGTCTCAAGATTACAGTCACGTACTGTACATATTTATTTTTTAAATATGATAACCATAACTTGTGAAATAATATAATTACTGATCGGAAATTTGGGCCACTCACCGGAGGTGTATATCTTGTTAGCGAGTCTAGTAAGAACCTGTGATCAAAACTCAGAATTATTGATTGTTAAAGCAGGTGGTACGTGCAGTTAACAGTTCACTTCTAGGGGTTAAATAAAGCGTTTATGAGAATAATTTCTTAATATTGGTTGAGTCATGAATTATTTAACATCACTGTATTAGCTGTATAGTTTATTTAGCACCGTATGCCATGTGAATGAATTCGAATGGGTATTGGAGAGAGAAAGAGGTTGTGAAGTGTATCAAGGTTTGCCAGGCGAGTCTAATGAAGGTTACAGAAACCACACGATGCTCGTGTCTACGGCCGAGATTTGAACCGAGCATTTCCCAAACACGCGTCAGATCGGTTTGGCGTGATATGTTTGTGCTTGTGTGCACTTGACAAGTGTGAATCATGCATAACAGTGCTGTCGATTCCGCGACTGCAATCTTGAGACTTGAGGGAAGAGGAGGTGGGGTGATGGAGGAAGGAGGAAGGAGGAAAGATAGCGCCTGCCTTTAACGCTTCAGACTTACTGCATTCCTTGCAAGTCTCAAGATTACAGTCGCGTACTGTACATATTTATTTTTTTAAATGATAACCATAACTTGTGAAATAATATAATTACTGATCGGAAATTCATATAATGTAATTATCCTGCCATTTTCCTGGAGGGTCTGAGGAAAACCATGAAAACCCTCAGTCAGGATATCCTGTCTCCAAGCCACTATTTGAACCCAGGCGCAAGTTTGCTACCCACTCGGCTGTGCTTATATATTTGGTGTTTATTACCTGTGGAATTATCAGGACTGAAGAGAAAGTATCTTATGTTTGTGTTTTATTAAGAAGATTGCTGGTGTTGTTATTGTTGTTGTTATTTACAGGAGATGTGTAATCTCTTCAGCTAATGTCAGTTAATAAACATCAGGCTCATGATTCTGTAAGAGTATACAAAATGCCCATTCTTACCTATATTTACCATCTGGCAATGCTGATAACATGTAAGTAAAAGTACAGCTTATCAAGCAATGAATTTCAGTTCATCACTGTCATCATTGTCATTGTCGTAATTATCGTTTTGGTAGTAGTGACTAAGTTCCGTAACTTTCTCACCTTGTTAAAATTATGACTATCAATATAGCATCAACCATTATACTGAAACCTAAACCTTAATATAATCTCAGTTTTAATAAAAATGTTTGTAAGATTGCTGAGCTATTTATTTTCAGTACACAGTAAGAACAAAAACTGCTCTTAGCTGAAAAACTTAAAATGGACTAAATGAGTTTTTGAACTTGTACACTCATCACTAAAAACTTTTATTATCTAACACTTTAGGTGTTCATTATACAAAGTTTTCTTTTTACTGCATGGAGACTGTGTGTCTGTTTTTTGAATATTAAAATTACTTGGAAAATTTATATTCATATGAATGTTTACAGTAGTTATAAAACTTTGATCTGTGTCTGTTCATTGTTAACCACACTTCTTAGAAATTCCAAATCTATCATCACTTTCATCAAAAACATCTCATCATATAAAAGATTTGTCATCATTGCCCACTTGACAGTCAAAAGAGTCAAGACAGCTTTTTGATCTATTCCAGGCTCAAAAGATCAGTACCTGTATAAGATTTACATCTCATTAAGATTTTAAACTTTATTATAGGTATTTTTTAATATAGTTCATATTTTAATGAAGTTTGAGTTTGCTTTATCATATATGTTCTGTTTCTTAGTACTGCAACAACAAACTGTTATTGTTTAAAGGTTTGTAACAATATTCATTATAGGAACGTAGTGTTGGAAATTGTCCATCATCTCATATGTTTTGTATTAGCCTTGTACTGTAAGGTCCTGGGTTTCATCCCAAAATGTAACATATTATTTAAAGATGTCAGTCTAATGCCAAATAAGTCTCCTGAAGACAGGAGTACAGTTAATGTATGAAACATCATACACATCAGATATATCTCCGGCAATGAGCTGTGTACAAAATTGGCCTAATATTAGTTTCTTAGATTTATATCTTTGGTCATTAAAAATCAAGACCAATTCAGAATTGTATCAAATGTATTTGAAAGTACGGTATTTTTTCTTCGGTATTGCAGATGAACTGTTATTGGCAATCTCAGAAGTTTAATTATTACAGATGGAGACCAATTGAACTTCAGGAAGATTGTGTAAAGTTTGAGTTTGCTTTATCATATATGTGCTGTTTCTTAGTACTGCAGTAACAAACTGTTATTGTTTAAAGGTTTGTAACAATATTCATTATAGGAACGTAGTGTTGGAAATTGTCCATCATCTCATATGTTTTGTATTAGCCTTGTACTGTAAGGTCCTGGGTTTCATCCCAAAATGTAACATATTATTTAAAGATGTCAGTCTAATGCCAAATAAGTCTCCTGAAGACAGGAGTACAGTTCATGTGTGAAACATCATACACATCAGATATATCTCTGGCAATGAGCTATGTACAAAATTGGCCTAATATTAGTTTCTTATATTTATATCTTTGGTCATTAAAAATCAAGTCCAATTCAGAATTGTATGAAATGTATTTGAAAGTAAGGTATGTTTTCTTCGGTATTGCAGATGAACTGTTATTGGCAATCTCAGAAGTTTAATTATTGCAGATGGAGACCAGTTGAACTTCAGGAAGATTGTGTGTTAGCTCTCAATATGTAATTCATCTTTTGTTACAGGTGGCAGTGCACTTATTATCCCTGAAGAGCTTAAATCGATTTTGTCAAACATCTTTATGATCATCCCACCCATCAAGAAAGGTTTGTGATCTTTTCACTATATTAGTATGTTTTCCTCCAATAGGTGACTTGCCACAATTACTAAAACTGTCTGCTCCGTTTCTTCAACATATTATAAACTCAGCATTTTTTCCAACATAGGAAAATTAGTTAAGCATAAAGATTTCTGTGTTCTGGGTTGTTGCGCTGTGTAGTCTGGTCGATGTTAACCAACGTTTCAGAGGTCATACTGCCTCCATCATCAGGGCCTCTGAAACGTTGGTTAACATCAACCATACTACACAGCGCAACAACCCAGAAGACAGAAATCTTCATACTCACCACTGTGAAAACCTCAAATCTTACGATTTAAGCATAATTTAATTTTTGCAGCGATGAATACTTGAATCATTTAGCATACCGAGGTGTTTAAAAATTTAATCTTCTTACTTCAGAGATCTAGAGGGTGCCCCATAAACACCTTGATCACACACATACCTTGTGTAATAAAGTGTGAATAGTCTGTAAGAACCTCACTTTCCAAATTTTTAACTTCATAGAATTGTAAGAATTAAATAGTAACAATTGAAAAACCTACAGAAATTGAAATTATTATGCTAAAGAAGTACCAAATTATTACTGATGTTCTTCCATGGAGAAGACTAAAACTGAAGTTGTAAAAGTGTTTATTATTATATATTTCCTTGAATTAATCCTAATGTATTTTTCCAGTTAAGAACATAACTTAAAAATGAATTCAGTAAAATATAAATGTTCTTATACATTGACTTGGGATCAGGAGCTCTTTAAATTGGTCTGGGTGCAGAAATGTATTTCACCCATCTGGACAAAATTTGAAGACCTTACATGTATGTGACAGTTGTATTCCAAACAAAATTTGCAGAGGGTGAAACTGCATAAATTGAAAAAGAAAAATTACTTCTCTCCTCGCATCTCTCTTTTGCCACCTGTACAGTACTCTACTTCTCCTCCTCCCTGCCTCATTTGATCAGGCAGCAAGCAGTTCACATTAAAGTGAGTGCTATTAATTGAAATAGGTCCAAATTAGGGGAGTTGCATTTTTGAAGAAGCATATAAGGAGTAATACTTTGTATTGTCAGTGGATATGCTCACATTCTGCCCTTATGTTCAGAAGCTTTGGGACCCCATTGTAACATAGCTCATGGTTCCTGTTTTGAAGACCACATTTTAATATCAGTTCATAAGCACCAAGCCTGTTTATGCTACAGTGTAACTGTATCGTTATTTGATTTAGGATTATGCCTAGTTTATGGTTCTTGACACAAAATGCATAAAATGAATACATCTTCCTTCTCTGAAACTACACCATATAATCTGATTAAATTTGGTATTTTGGGATCCATTAAAAGTTGTCATGCAGATTTAATTTTTGTGCATACCAGTTATTATAATTCTAATATTAATCTACTTAACAAGAAGTTATATATTTCCTTGAATTAATCCTAATGTATTTTTCCAGTTAAGAACATAACTTAAAAATGAATTCAGTAAAATATAAATGTTCTTATACATTGACTTGGGATCAGGAGCTCTTTAAATTGGTCTGGGTGCAGAAATGTATTTCACCCATCTGGACAAAATTTGAAGACCTTACATGTATGTGACAGTTGTATTCCAAACAAAATTTGCAGAGGGTGAAACTGCATAAATTGAAAAAGAAAAATTACTTCTCTCCTCGCATCTCTCTTTTGCCACCTGTACAGTACTCTACTTCTCCTCCTCCCTGCCTCATTTGATCAGGCAGCAAGCAGTTCACATTAAAGTGAGTGCTATTAATTGAAATAGGTCCAAATTAGGGGAGTTGCATTTTTGAAGAAGCATATAAGGAGTAATACTTTGTATTGTCAGTGGATATGCTCACATTCTGCCCTTATGTTCAGAAGCTTTGGGACCCCATTGTAACATAGCTCATGGTTCCTGTTTTGAAGACTACATTATAATATCAGTTCATAAGCACCAAGCCTGTTTATGCTACAGTGTAACTGTATCGTTATTTGATTTAGGATTATGCCTAGTTTATGGTTCTTGACACAAAATGCATAAAATGAATACATCTTCCTTCTCTGAAACTACACCATATAATCTGATTAAATTTGGTATTTTGGGATCCATTAAAAGTTGTCATGCAGATTTAATTTTTGTGCATACCAGTTATTATAATTCTAATATTAATCTACTTAACAAGAAGCTAAAATTACAGTTCCCCAAACAATAACATAAAATACAGGTATTGTTAAGAACTACAACTTTTAGTAGAAACATTTTCTGGTATAGTAAATATTTAAAGAAATATAAGAGGACATATTTTGGCTCTGGAAAGTGTTGTATGTTTAATTTAATTATGTTTGAAAAAATTTATCTGATATGCAATAAATGAACATCATGGCCAGTGAGATATGCAAGCTTATAAAAAAATGCAATTATAAAATATTCATATTCTGTTGGAGTATGCCTTTGCAGTATTATTAAGGTTAACCACATTAGTGCACACAATTGACTGCTCTGGGCACTTGTTTAAAAATCTGTGATGGTGATATAGGGACAGACTCCCGTGTGGGTGTTGGTTTTCGTCTGGGTGAGCATGCAGACTTCCAGGTTCTTCTGGAATTGGGTCCACAGTTAAACACTCAGCCACTTGGTCCTGCTGGAGATACCAAAACACGGCGACAAGTTCAGCGACCTGGCCTGGTTGTCCTACCAGCAACAGACTCAGAAACAGTTGCTGACACACCAGGAGGAAAATGGCTGTCTTCGTGGCGATCAGCACTTGTTAACTCGCAGACCATGGTAAGGTTTCTACACTGTTTACTCCATAGAATTGTATGGCATTAAACAGGACATTTCTGGGTGGTGAATTGCAAAGCGTGTGGAAAAGTGGTATCACAGCAAATTTTCGTTACTATCCCAGCATTTTACTGGAGGAACTATGGAAAATTCACAGTCAGAAACACCACCCTCAAGCTCAAAAATCAAATCTAGTACCTCTAAAACATGAAATGCAGTATCAGTATAATTATTGTCTGTAATTACCTTGTTACAGTCACATTTTTGGGTTTACTAATTGCATTTACCATAGTACCATTATTTTCTGCCGTGATTTATGATACTTGTCTCTGTAGTTCACAAAACTGAAATAAAATTATAATTTTTTGGTAAAACTTAGGAAATAAGTAATGAAGCTGAAAGCTCAGAATTCAAAGACTAGCTCATAAAAGCTTCAAATTCCTGGCCTGTTGTATGTTCCAGGAAGCCAACAGGTATATAGGAGTTGGACAACACCAGGTTATTCAGAACCCAATGAAGGGCAAGGACCATGTTACATCACAGCTGCAACAGCTTTATAAAAATGGCAGCAAAGCAACTGAAAAGTCAAATAGTGAAGGTCAAACATCAGATGGTGGTCCAGCAGGAAGAGGAAATTTTACTTCAGTAGAAACATGAATCACAGTGCCATTGTCATTGCAGAAAAGACAGCCAGTCAATAGAATCAAAGACAGCTATGATATATATTTTGTGTAATAACTATGGGCAATGACTGTGTGAGGGTAACTGAAAGAGGTTCAACAGGAATGGTCCAGATTATCTCAAGGTTTGTAACAATGTTTTCTTTGTTACATTATCATTATTTTAGACATTATCCATTGAGGTATACTTGCTATAGGTAATGCTTTTGGAGTTGGCTTTACTCTCGTCTTCAGGTGATTAGTTGTCACTATGCTAACATATTTTTCTGCTTGATATTAAAGGCTAAGATCAAGATCAAAATAAAAACTTCTTAATATTAAACTTGTATGCTGTTCCTTAGTGGCCCAGTGGTTAGCATGTAAATTTAATATTTGAAAGGTTTGTCTCTTTTAAAAAAATAAAAATAGTAAAAACAAATTCAAGCAATGGACAATAAAGGTACAGTTTCTAACACACCTTTCCCATGCTCAAGTTCATTTAATGTGAGATCCTAAGACACCATTGTGTAGGTATGTTATTACATTAATTGTTTTTACCTTAAATCACAAAAAGAAAATATTCGACAATTTCCCAAGAAGAGCTTCGTCGAGTATTTCGAAACACGTTAACGAGATGTGAAACTTGCTTGCAATCACAAGGAAGTCACTTTGAACATCTTCTGTGATTTAAGGTAAAAGCAATTAATGTAATAACATGTATTAGTGACGAGAAATATTTGTAGTTCGCTGTTACTATCGACACCGAAACTGACTCGCCCGTGACTCACGCGTACAAGTCCCGCCTACGTCAACAGCACCGGCCGATAACACAATGTAAGCACGACCGTAAGCTCATAAATTGGAGACCCGGTAATTTGTCAAATAAGCTTATTGACTGGGCTACATGTGAACCTTTCTGCGACAGTAAATTAGTAACGTTGATGTTATGTGTATCCCGGGTCTGTAATAATTTTCAGAAGCGCCTATTAATGCTATTTGGCATGCAATAATTGCTTTCTAAGAAAACATTCAGATGGCGAAGTTAAGTACCATAAGATTTTGAGTAATCCCCGTAGTTGAAAGGTGAAGTGAGAATTCATTCCTAGAATTTAATCAGAATGGGGACTGTGGATAAGATTTTAAAGGAAATAACGTGCTAAAGAATGAATTCTCCTAAATTTGGTCGAGTTATTGGTGACCGTATTTTCGTTACATTAAACAGGCTGCTTTTCAGTGTAGACTTACGTTCAGTATTCGATACTGAAGATTAAAAACATTGTAGAATTTATTCTAATGTCTTTTTTACGTGGATATGGAAAACATAACTTTGAGACCCTGCAAATGGCGAAGCCCTAAGCTAATGTCTGTTCTGAAACGTACAGTAAGAGACCACATTTCACATCATACAAAATACTTCGGTGCCATAAGCCGCTTACATCACAGACAGGATTGTGGATTCCATTTGCTACGTGTCGGCAGGTGTTGTAACTTGTCTGATAACCTATGAAGGTGGCAACTCCCACAGACTGAAACTTTGCGTTATACCAACGTGTATACATGTTGTGCTCAACAGATCGCTATAAAATCTAGCAGCCTAGACGTCAAAGAACACAAAATTCTTAGCCTCGACACCAGTCCGACTGTCTTTACACCCAGACAAAGAACCGCCGGTCCCTACCGGCGTGGTAAGTCCTAGATGTGGTAAATAGTAAATTCCGAAAGCCTCTACAAGGAATAGAAACATGGTCCATGAGACCCTAACCAATCAGTTTATTGGCAGCCGTTACGATTCAGTGTCGTTAAAACGTTCAAAATAAACGCATAATTTTTACTTTTCACCTCGTATGTGTGAAATATATGCATCAATAATTTTGGTTGGAAATCCTCGAGGAAAAAAGAACATTTCGGAGGGACGGGTGTAGATGGAAAGATAATATTAAAATTTGCATTACAGAAATAAGTTGTGAAGAAGTGGATTGAATTTCACTGTCTCAGAATATAGTCCAATGGCAGGCTTTTGTGGACACAATGATGGACCTTTTGTTTTCTTAAAAATGGGGGTTTCTTCAAATAACCCACCACCATCTCCTTTCATATTAATTCCGGCTACTCAGTAGTAGTGTTTAATAGGGTTTGTTGGTTTTTAAAAACCGGTTTTTTTTTGGATAAATTTGTAAAATTCGAAAACCGGTTTTTAAAATTTAAAATCCGGTTGTAGATACTAGATGTAAAAATTTCTGTTAAATGAACTAAAAAATTTAAAAGACTGAAATTATTTCCAAATTATTAAATGCTTTA